CCCCACGCCAGTGTAGTAGCCACGCACGCCACGAAGTGAAGTGTCCCAACGTCATAGGGCGGGAAGCTGGGTTTGGGTGGTCGCGAAGAGTCGTTTGGATATTTGGTAGAGCTTGTAATGCCCCCCCACGAAGTGGGGGTATTGCCTGGTGTCGTATGAAAACCCTGGCACTGGGGAGAACACCACGCGTTCGGGTAAAATGATTGTTGTTGTTGTTGTTGTTGTTGTTGTCGTCGTTGCCGTTGTTGTTGTTGAATGTGAATCACTGAGCAATTATTATTGTTGGACCCGTTACGGACGCCCTGGCGCTCTCGCCGAGGCGCCGGCTACATTTTCAGTGAAAATGAGGCTCACGCTCGAGCGGTTTGGGGAACCGCCCAAACCGGCCCCCGAACAACAACAACGCTCCCGCTCGAGACCTCTTTTTTTTACTCAGGGCTGGTGTTCTTGCTCGCCGCCGAAAACCGCCGTCCTAACACAGCGCTCCCGCTCGAGACTTCCTCCCGTTTTACCTTGGACTGGCGCGCTAGTCTTTCTCTCATTGGCGCCGCCCCCAGCAAAAACAACGCTCCCGCTCGAGGCTTCCTCCCTTTTTACTCAAGGCGGTGTTCCTCCTCGCCGCCGAAAGCCGCCGCCCCGACAAAACCAGCGCTGCCGCCAGAGACCTCCTTCGGTTTTACGCTGGATTGGCGCCCTACTCTCTTTTGATTTGGCGCCGCTCCCATCAAGAACAACGCTCCCGCTCGAGGCTTCTTCTTTTTTACCTGAGGACGATGCTGTTCCTCGCCGCCGACAACACCCGTCCCGACAAAACCACGGCTCCCGCTCGATGCTTCCTCCCTTCTTATTCAAGGCGGTGTTCCTCCTCGCCGCCGAAAGCCGCCGCCCCGACAAAACCAGCGCTCCCGCCCGAGACATCCTTCGGTTTTACGCTGGACTGGCGCCCTACTCTCTTTTGAATCGGCGCCGCTCCCAGCAAGAACAGCGCTCCCGCTCGAGATGTCCTCTCTTTTTCCTCGGGACGGTGCTGTTCCTCGCCGCCGACAGCCCCCGTCCCGACAAAACCCCGGCTCCCGCTCGATGCGTCCTCCTTTCTTATTCAAGGCGGTGTTCCTCCTCGCCGCCGAAAGCCGCCGTCCCAACAAAATCAGCGTTCCCGCTCGAGACTTCGTTTTGTTTTTCGCAGGACTAGCGCCCTACTCTCTTCAGCATTGGCGCCGCTCCCAGCAAACAGCAGCCTTGCTCGAGATTTCTTCCCTTTCTATTCAGGTCCAGATCCTTGCCTCACAGCCGACAGCCCCCATCCCCACCAAGGCAACCCTGTCGTTCGATACTTCCTTGTGCTTTACCCTTCGCTGGGGTTCCACTGGCGGTCTCGCATCGGCGCAGCAAGGCGCGGGCATGTGTTATCGAGGCGGGATATGTTGAAATTTCTCGGAGAAGGTGTTTGCAAGACCTCATTGGGCGGGAGATCTGGGAATGGGACTAACGGACCCCGCTATAGAACAAGGGTCCCCCAGAATGTGGATGTTGATCATGATGGTCGCATGCTTCGTGTGGAAACATCGCGCATGAGGGTAACATGCTTGTTGTTGTTACTGTTGTTGTTGGTGTTGAACTCCCACTTGTGAAGAATAACGATTGTTGACCCCCCTCCGGTGACAATTGGATTTTTTTCCATTGAAGTGCTTCCCCCGGGGCTCGCACCCCGTTTTTCATCAGGGGAAGTAGCTAAGCTCAAACTGTCCCGCCCGAGATTTCCTCGCAAGTTAGCCAGGCCCCCCGCTCCCGCCCGAGACTCCATCGCATTTTGCTCAGGAATCACGCTCTCGCTTGGGACCTCCTGGCAATTTATTTAGGAATCGCTTTCTCGGCGCTCTGGAGTTGCGCTCTCGCAGGGGACTTGCTTGCAACTTATTCAAGAATCGCAATATTGCGTTGGAATTTCCCGCGATTTGCTCTACATAGCGCCGCGCTCCCGACGCTCAGGCGCCCAGGGGTCACGCTCGCGCCCAGGACTCCCTCACAGCTTATTTAGGAATCGGGATCTCGCAGCCCTTCGTGGCCCCCTCGCTGCCTTTCGTGGCCCCGCTGCAGCCCTTCGTGGCCCCCTCGCTGCCCTTCGTGGCCCGGTTGCAGTCCTGCGTGGCCCCCTCGCTGCCCTTCGTGGCCCCGTTGCAGCCCTTCGTGGCCCCCTCGCTGCCCTTCGTGGCCCGGTTGCAGTCCTGCGTGGCCCCCTCGCTGCCCTTCGTGGCCCCGTTGCCGCCCTCAGTGGCCCCCTCGCTGCCCTCGCTGCCCTTCGTGGCCCCGTCACAGCCCTTCGTGGCCCCCTCGCTGCCCTTCATGGCCTCATCTATGTATGCTCTTCGTGGCCCCCGCTCGTCCGCGCCCTTCGTGGTCCCCTCGCTGCCCTTCGTGGCCCCGTTGCTGCCCCGTCCTTGCCCTCTGCGGCCCAATATGCGTATGCTCATCGTGGCCCCCGTTCGTTGGCGCCCGTCGGGGCCCCATATGCATGCCCTTCGTGGCCCCGCTGTCGCCTTTTGTGTTCCCTTCGCTGCCCTACTTGGCCCCGTTGCTACCCTCAGTTGCCCCGTCGTTGCCCTGTGTGGCCCCGCATTATCTGCCTTTCGTGGCCCCCGCTCGTTCGCCCCATACGCATGCCCTTCGTGGCCCCGCTGTCGCCCTTCGTGGCCCCCTTGCTGCCCTTCGCGGCCCCCTCGCTGCCCTTCGTGGCCCCACTGTCGCTCTCGCTCTCGCTCTCGCTTTCGCTCGTCGTCGTCGTCGTCGTCGTCGTCGTAGTGGTCGGTCCCCTGTCCGTCCCTCTTGAGATCAGGTTGCCGCCGGTCAGCGCTGCCGCTGGCCAGGCCGATGGTCCGCGGCCGCTTCGCTGCTTGCCTGCAGGGAAAAACGATATACCACACAAAGGGGGTACGATAGAAAACGAAGAGGGGGGGTGTCGAGGGTTTGGGAAATACGCAGTAAATGACACTCGAGCAGATAAGTTAACATGAGTGTTATTGTTGTTGTTGGTGGTGGTGGTGGTGTTGTTGTGGGCGCGCGACGGAGGAGGTGAGGGAAGAGAGTGGAGGGAGGGAGGGGAGGGGAGATGGGAGGAGGCAAGCTAGGTGCGCAAACGTCGATCTGACGTCCTACCCCTCCCTCCCATCCCTGACCATTGCGTAGGTCTCTCTTTTCTCTCTCTCTCTCTCTCTCTCTCCGCACAGTCGGACGTCGAACAGGGCAATGATCCCGAAAGAGTACGCGATGTATGGTATAGCACGGCACACCATGGCATAGAAGAGCACTGCCACAGCCGACGTCGCCGCGTCGAGAATGCGACCCATTTCGACAACAATGTCAGAGGGAAACCAACGATGGCACAGGACGGGAAATGCAAATGGACGGTTTGAACAGCGGGCAGCGCAAAATGAGATCAGCGCTGCATCGGGAGCACGACTTCGAAGGACGGAAACCGCGGAAATGAAACCAGCGCTGCAGTGGGAGCACAATTTAGAAGGACTGGAAGCGCGGAACCGAAGCCAACGCTGCAGCAGGAGCACGATTTGAAAGAGCCGAATCAATGAAATGAGGTCAGCGCTGAAGCGGGCACATGATTTTGGAATGGCTGGGAACGGGGAAATGTAGAGAATGCTGTAGCGGGGGGGCCATTCTGAAAGAATTGAAACCTCCGGATTCGAAAAACACAAGTTGATTCTCAACTCGGCGGCATTCTTCTTGTAACAACAAAACGCGGAGGAGGCCAGGACACCTCACCGGCGTCTTCGGGAGAGAGAGGAGGGCAGTATTCATATTGTGTAATTGTGGATGGAGGGAGGGGGATGGAGGGAGGGGAGGGAGCAAGGGAGGGGAGGGAGCAAGGGAGGGGAGGGAGGGGAGGGAGGGAGGCGAAGGGAGGGAGGCAAGTTAGGTGCGCTCGCGTCAACATCTGACATCCTACCCCTCCCTCCCATCCCTTACCATGGCGCTGATTTTCTCTATCCGCGGACGCGTGTCGTAGCGGACCTGTGGCTCCGCGCGCGTGTGCGTAGTGGGTGGTGGTGCGCGTGCGTGCGTGCGTGTGTGCGTGGTTGTGGTTGTTGTGGTGGTGGTGGTGGTGGTGGTGGTGGTGGTGTGTATGTGTGTGTGTGTGTGTGTGTGCGTGTGTGCGCGTGTGGTGTGACGTGGTGTGGCGTCTTGGTGGTTTGGTGGTGGGCCAGGTGCGTACGTGCGTGATGGCGGTGGTGGTGGTGGCGGTGGTGGTGTGTGTGTGTGTGTGCGTGTGTATGTGTGTGTGTGTGTGTGTGTGTGTGTGTGTGTGTGTGTGTGCGTGCGTGCGTGCGTGCGTGCGTGCGTGCGTGCGTGCGTGCGTGCGTGCGTGCGTGCGTGCGTGCGTGTGTCTGTGTGTGCGCGCGTGTGATGTGGTGTGACGCGGTGTAACGTGGTGGTGGTGGGTGGGGTAGTGCGGTGGTGGTGGCGGTGCGCGGTGGTGGTGCGCGTGCGTGCGTGCGTGCGTAGGTGGGTGGAAGTGGCGGTGGGTGTTCGTGCGGCGGGGCGGGGCGTGGTGCGGCGCGGTGGTGGCGGGCGGATGGGCGCGCGAGAAAGAGGCCCGCGCTGGGGCGAGAACGCCATCCTGAACGACGGAGGCAAAACACCGATCCGAAAATGAGGCCCACGCTGCAGCGGGAGCACGATCCAGAACGATTCGCGAGCAGAAATGAGGCCGGCGCCTCAGCGAGAGCAGCATTTTTTGTTTAATCAGGCGAAAACCCAACTCCCGGGAATCCTGCGTGTAAGAAAACAATACGCGGGGGGGGGGGGGTCGAATATTCCCAGGACGCCATCAGGAGAAGAGGGAGAGTAGTATGCATATTGAATAACTGCGGAGGGAGGGGAGGGAGGGCAGGGAGGGAGGGAAGCGGACCGAAGCTGGGCGCCCGTCCCCCGACACACCCCCTGGGGCGGCTGCCGCCGCCTCCCCCCCCCCCCGCCCCCGGGAGCAGGCGCGGGGCAGGCCCGGCGAAGCCGCAGTCCACGCGCGCGTGGCCTTCGAAGGCGGGGGGCCCAGTCCGGGCGCGGCCTCTCTCGGCTGGGCCGGCGGGGGGCAAGGGAGGGGGGCGGCAAGTGACAACCTTGTCGTCGTCATCGTCGTCGTCCTCCTCCTCCTCCTCCTCCTCCTCCTCCTCCTCCTCCGCCTCTTCCTCCTCCTACTCCTCCTCCCTCTCCTCCTCCTCCTCCTCCTCCTGGCGGCCCTGGCGGCATTCGGCTGTCGCACCGCAAAGCAGCAGCAATCTCAGCTGCTCCTCAGACAGCGACTCCTCTTCTCTATCTGCTACGCCCCCCGGGCCCGGAGCCACATCGGCGATGATGGCCCCCAACGAAGACGCCCCACCTCGCTTTCGGACTGGCATCGATCCATCTGACCTTTCCCAGCGTTGGCATGTCGTCCACCCTGCTTCTTCTCCATCCTTCCCTCCTTTGCACCCGACTCCGCGCCCACGCGACGGCCCTACTCACGCTGCCAGACCGTCCCGGGCGCCCCACCCACCCTCGCCGCCCCACGAGGTCCCAGCCGCGCGGCGCCCGCAGTCAACCAGCAGCACGAACATCACCCAGCACGACCTCCAGCACCCAGCATCCGACTATCCACTTGCACTCCACAAATCGACCTCCAACCTCACCGCTCCGGCCTCCAGCATCCAGCTTCAGACTTTCCACTTCCACCTCCACCTATCGACCTCCAGCTTCCACCTATTGGCCTCCAGCTTCCACCACCTCAGCGCTCCGACCTGCAGCTTCCACCATCCGACTTTCCTCTTCCACCTCCACCTATCGACCTCCAGCTTCCACCTATTGGCCTCCAGCTTCCACCACCTCAGCGCTCCGACCTGCAGCTTCCACCATCCGACTTTCCACTTCCACCTCCACCTATCGACCTCCAGCTTCCGCCACCTCAGCGCTCCGACCTCCAGCACCCAGCATCTGACTTTCCACTTCCACCTCCACCTATCGACCTCCAGCCTTCGCCCAACAACCCAAGCCTGACCGGATTCCGAGAGTCGCTGCGGCAGCAGCAGCAACAGCAATTGCAGCAGCCGCTGGGACGTTGGGAGATTTGTCTGCTACTGCGGCCAGGCCTCCGCCGGGCCACGGCGAGATGCAGCTCGACACGGACGCCTTGGAATGGGACCAAGAGCACAACGTCCACGACGATCACGTCGTCGAGACCAGCCATCCCGGCGACGTCGACGGCAACATCGCCGTCACCGTGGCCAGCACCCATATTTCCACCACCAGCCTCCGCCAGCAGCAACTCCACGGGACAAGCCCGGGGCCATTGAACAGAATTTCGCCCGCGTCGGGAGGACACTCCGTCGACTGCATGATGCACATGCCGCCCGTGCCAGAGGAGGCTGTGGCACCAGCGCCGGCGAAAGCCGGGACACCGCCGAGCTTCCAGCTCCCACCACCTCATCGCTCCGACCTCCAGCATCCAGCATCCGACTTTCCACTAGCACTTCCACCTATGGGCCTCCAGCTTCCACCACCTCAGCGTTCCAGACTCCAGCATCTAGCATCCGACATTCCACTCCCGCAACCACCTCGCGGGCTCCAGCTTGAGCGTTTCGACCTCCAGATGCGTCGCACCTGAAACAGAACACGAGCGGCATACAGTCGGCTTCTTGCAGCACTGTGACGCGCAGGAAATGTCCTCGCTCGCTCTTTGCACCATGCAAACGCCTGATGGCGGTAGGAAGACCTTTGCATTTGAGCATAGGGCGATCCTCGCCGAAGGCAACCTTGAAACGTCGAACACACCTGGAAACCGTTTCGGCCGAGGGGTCGTTCGGCTCCAGGGTGATCCAGTCGTGTCACTGGTGGGCCCGCAAGATCTTCTGACGCGGTCCCTTGGGGTCCCGAACAACAATTATTTTCGGGAAAACTGAGAGGACAGCCGAGAACAGCGAAATCAACTTGCGCACAGTGCCCACTATCTCGTCTAGCTCTTCGAGCTCCGACGTGGCCACTGCAGGGAGTATGATTCGCGCGTGCTTCGCCAGACGGTCCGCATTCTTGCTCCTAAGAGCGATCTTGCGTTCTCTGGGCGGAGGGACGGCTGTAACTTCGCCAGACAGATGAGCTGGGGTGTGGAACGCAGAAGATCAGGGAGGCCTCACCCTCGTCAGCAGAGGCGGTGATAATACAATGAGGAGGCCAACGATGCCGACCACGAAAGTAGTCACTCAGGACCCGACGAGCTCCGAAAGGGGATGATGATGCTGCTGCTGCTGCTGATGATGATGATGATGATGATGATGAGGATGAGGATGAGGATGAGGATGAGGATGAGGATGAGGATGATGAGGATGATGAGGATGATGAGGATGATGATGATGAGGAGGAGGAGGAGGAGGAGAAGGAGGCGGGAAGCGCAGCGCGAAGCCCCACCCCCAGAACGCCACTTCATAAACCGCCGCCCTCCCTCAGCCAGGGCGCGTCTCCGAAGTCCCGCAACCGCTTGGTAGGGGGGGTCCACCCGCGCACGCTCCCGCTCGTTGCGCAGGCCGACCGCTCCCAGACAGTCGCTGCACACGTGGCAGGGTCCAGACGCAAGGCAATCGAGAGTGGCCAGTCCAAACTCGGCGGCGGGCCCGCGGGGAATTTGAAAAGGAGCGAGCCTCCTCAGATGGCTCGGAAGGTCTCGGGCCTTCGGAGAATCCTCGCCATCTTCTGAAAAGGCCTGCTCCTTCTCACTCCCCTCCCCCCTCGCTCGCTCCCGGCCAACTGCTCTCCCGATGGGGGCGTTTGGGGAGGGCCTTGCCACACAGTGCCAAGAATCCGGGCTCGGATTTCGTATGGTTCGCCAGGGGCCAGGACCACAGCAACATTCGGGCCGAACGAAAGGGCGGGATAGGGAAAGGGGGGGTTACGACATCTGCTGCATGCAGCTGGTTTCGGCCCCGCCGCCGGGCCCATTCGTCGATGCATGGGTGCCTCCCGGCGCCGGGAGGCGCTGGGGAAATCAGCTGCGTGAGCTGATTCTCCACCCTACCCTTTGTTATCCCCCCTTTCGTTCCCCCAAAACCATACGAACTTCAGTTGACCTCGCGAGAAGCCATCTGCGCCGCCGAGCTGTCGGCCACAGTGTGGGCGTCGGCGGTCTGGGCGCAAGCGTCGTCAACGTCAATCAGCCACGCGCAGAGGGGGGTGGGGGGAGGGGGGAGGGCTTCTTAGAAGCACCCCTGCTTCTTAGAAGGCGCGGGCCTTATCTACAGATGTAGGGCCGGCGCCTTTAAGAAGCAGCCTCCTTCTGAGAAGCCCTCCCCCCTCCCTCCACCCCCTTGTGCGCGCCGCAAATCAAGGAGCTCACCCCCGGGGCCCTGGAGGATGGGTTCGAGGTGCAGACATGGGGGCGGCGGACATGGCCGAGGCGCAATCAGCCTCGACCGAAATAGTATGCCGGCCGCGTCAGCGGTCCGAGCCTCACCCATGAGTTCATCGCTGACGTGTTCGCTGCGGGCCTGTTGAGCCTCGGGCGCCTCACAAAACCGTTGCCTATGGACGAGGTTATCTGGCATCCCACACCCTAAATGACACATCCTATCGTGAACGTGCTCCGACTCTCTCAGCCGATCCCCCGTGCAGGCGACTCAAGAGAAGACAGCACACGTCCCGTATTTCTCGCGGCCCGAAGCCGTCTTCGAGCGAAGGAGCCTACGCAGGGGTCTGGGTGCCACTCTGGTGGCTCAGAAATCTGACAGGGAGCTCACAAGGCGGCGCCCATGGGATCGATGCGCTCCCTCCTGCAGCAGGCTGTTGAGCATCGCTGGTGATGTGTATAGCAGGTCGATGAATCGATGACGTACCCTTTTCCATTTTTCCTGACAGAGGCCCCCTCAGCACTCCACCCAATCTTCCGAAGTCTAAATTGCATACGACGTAGGGGTCCTCGGCAGTACTTTCGACCAGAACGTTCAGAACCATGGGATGAGACGTGATATCATTCAAATCTTAATGTGCTCACGGAGCGAGATGCGGCTAGACTCGGGACGTATCGTTGCCCGCCATAGGCTAGTAGTGGCCTATTGGTGAGCGGGAGCCACGGCCTGCTTCCACACAGGATTTCCTTGCAGCACGAACTTCGCCGTGAGAGACGCCCCGCGTTGCGCAGGGCTCCAACCAGCCAGCCCTGTACTTTGCAAAGATCTGACTTCGGAACCTGACGATCCTAAAATTATGCTTCCGTAGCCTACCGCAGGCCGAATTTCAGCAATATAGATTGCACACATTCGTGACCGATCACGGGGAAGTTCACGTCGGCAGTGAGAAAGCAGCTCATGACGACGATGCATCGCTTTGGATCGCGCCTTCCTCTTCGCCCGTCCCCACTTGCATCCTCTCCTTTGTCCCGGCGCTACGTCGACCCCCAGGGACACCGACGGGTTCGCGGCCACCGAGTGGCAGGATGCACGAAGCCTACAGGAGAGCCTATTCGCCAAGCGCCGCGAAGATGCGAAGCTGACGGCCTTGTCTTCAGCAGGGCCAACGTTGAGGTGACGAGCGAACAGTTGCTTGAGGTCGACTGCCCTCATGAGAGCCGCGGCAATCCCGTCCGCCTCGCCATATGCAGCGACTGTTTCGTCGTCTAGGTAGGAGCCCAGGGAGACTTGTGGGTGCCTAAGTGTGAAAGCGTCGAACCCAAACATAGCGTGAACCGTGACGAACGCATCGTTAGAGATGCCCTTTGCAGGAAGTCCTGAACGAGTGTAAACTGGGCGGGAGGGAGTGAGAAGCTCGTAAAGGAAGGGCACGAGGGCTGCTCCAGAGGCTATACAATACCTTGATGATCACCTTCGGGATCCCCCAGTACATGGCTCTGTCCATTAGCCAAATCAAGACGACAGACTCATAGTACTTCCTGCCGTCCCAAATGAAGCCAGCGGCGCCACGGCCATTGTAAGCTGCCTGCTCTGCCCGTAGACTCTGATGCCACCCCGAGCTCTGCCCACAAGCGAAAGACCAGTAGGGCCGATGGATGGGCCCGCTCCAGGAAA